GCTGGGGTGCGGTACGGGCCCGTGTCCTGCCGTACCCTCCGTGCACGGTGTCGGGTAGCACTGGGGGCCGTTTGGGAGTCCCTGTCAGAAGGCCAGCGGCTATTACTCTGTCACGTTTAAATGTCAGTCTTTTAAGGCTTTTCTCCTGATCTGTAAAAAGGTACCTTTCAACATCTTCATTTAGCCATCCAAAATTTTGGGTTTTGCAGGGAAGTAAAGAAATAATCATTATATGTAAAGAGCAAGTAAACAAACACCAAATTGAGATAAAGCTTCTGGCCAAGAATATTGTGCGGCTTATATGAAAGGTTATCAATCTGCACAAGATAATGGATTTGATGTTATTTGAACTTGTCATAAACGTGATCTTTATTAACCTGTAATATATAGTATCTGTATCCTTTTAATTCTATTACACTGCCATCTACAATGTCCTTACTAAAGTTTTATATACTAGTCTTTTTCAGATATCACAGTTTTTGTTTCAGTGTCTGCTGCCGATTTTTACGTGATCTATTTCCAATTTCCCATACTATTGCTAACTGTTGCTTCTTTGGAGTCTTATGTACTTGCTAAACTTCATGCAGCAAGTACCTAATCCATTTAAAATCAATGCTGCTTACATTTTTAATGCTGTTAAGTCCATTTTTGGGGGTGAGCAATAGCATAACTGTATTGTATCAAGTCAGACTGTGAATCCTAACTACTAATAAGCTCAAATAAGACTATTAGTAACCAAACAGTCATTGGCTAACAACAAAGGTGAGTCTGTGGCGTGGGAGAACTGGATATGACCTGTAGCTGGTGTTTTGACAAGTTCAACTCTTTGAATTTTGAGCAGTCTAGTTGTATTCATTGGGAATGTAGGAATATGGTATTTGAAACTGCTGTCTCCCTGTATTTTGTATATTTACAGGAAATAGTTTGTGTAGTGCATCATAGGATCGCATTTATTGGTTTTGTAGCTGCATCAAAATAGTTGCTTGTAACAGTCATTATTCTGAGTCTGCAGATTAGTAATGGTAGCAGGGCTTCTTGAGCCAGGTAAACGTGCCCTGTCTTCCATCTTCTGTTGTGACATCTCTCCTGTTTTGGTGACCCAGTTGCTTGTGTGCTGTGTGCTTTTTTAGATTGGAGCATTGTTGGGGTGGGTTTGGTTTTTTTTTTTTTTGAAGAACAGCATAGCAGGAAAGCAGATGGGGTGACACAGAATTGACAGCAAACTGTTTTGACAGGAGGGTTAGAAAGAGAAAAGTTTTTATGCCAGAATTGTTGTCTAAGAAATGTGTGTGGAACTTCAGCCTGAGATTGACTAATGTATTTCCAAACCGGGAGACCTAAGGTTGTAGCAGCAACTCTCTTTAATTTCAAGTTTGTGAAACTTGTGGTTTGTATTGTTAGATTTGATGATGTTTCTATGCTGTAGTTCTCAGATTCATCTGTTTCTTTCCATGCAGCACCGTAGTCATCTTCTACTTATGATGTTCTCAACTTGCCTAAAAAAAATTGGTCGGGGTTTTTTTTTTTGCATATGTGTGTTACAGTCACTTAATTAAAGCTTTAAGTAATAGTAGACTAAAGTGCTTTTATTCCAAAGCCTGACACACAGCTGAAATTAAGACTAATGGGTCTGTGGTTAAAGTATTTATTTTTTTTTTAATTTTCTTTAAAATGAGCATGTCTTCATCCTCCAGTGATACTTATTAAATATCCTTGCTAATTGCCTTACAGTTTCATTTTCTAGTTCATTACTTTGATACTGAGGTCATTTTAGATGATCTTTCTAAATTCAGTCTGTTTAGTTTGCTCCTCATTCAGATCCAGTAGTGTTCATTTCTGTCTGTGGTCATGAGAGTTTTGCCCCTGTGTTCTGGACAATTGTTGCTGGAAGCTGGGGCAAAATACTAGGTTGGCTTTGAAGGACTACATATAGAGTATCTTGACCTTGTGCTCACTGCTGTCGCATCCCATTCCCTGGTTTTTCTCTATATGTAATTGAAGAACCTTATTCTAATGTCTTCTGCAAAGTTCATTGTCCCTTTAGATGCTGCCTTTGGTGGTATATCTATCTTTATTTTGATTAAGCTCTCTTTTCTTTTAGGCACTCTCCTTTACTATTTATAAAGGAACTTTGTTTGGGTTTAGAGGTCTTTCGTCCAATGTAACTGACAGCGTACTTTAATTACTTAGTTTGCTGATTTAGTAGTAATTTTCCATTCAGGTTAAAGTGCTGGTAAATGTAACCTGTATTCCATTTTTCCATCTTTAAGGTCAATTGTAGTTAATCCTTCTTGAGCTAAGAGACACTGAGATTAAATTTTGTTGATGTTTAATGCTGTTGCTGAATTAAGCAGACATTATTAATTAGTAATGTCCTCATATATGTAAATCAGCTTTATTTTCTTCCTCACTTAAGCTTCCTTTTTAAACATATTCTAATATAGATTTCTTACACAGATTTCACCGTTTTCTTGATGTGAACAGTCACAAAGTAGAGAGGACGATAGAAGGGTAAGTTTTATGCCTATGGATTAATAATGGATTAGTTAACTTGGTTTGAAGCATTTTTGATACTATTTTTGTTATTAGAATACATGAAAAATTGATAGTTCATTCTGACCTTGGAAAAGCTGCAAGCTGGAAAAGACTAACAGAAAAATTTCTGAACTCACCACTCCCAAGTGTTGAAGAAACAAAGGTATGCATGTTGCAATTTCCTGGTTCTTTTTTTTCCAGCACTCTTGCTTTAATGCTGATGATGGGGACTTCATTTGTAATGTTGTGTTTGAGATTTCAGATGACTTAGCAGTGGAGTCAGGTCATGGATTTTTCAAGGTTGTATTCTTTAGTTTTCCTATTTATTTTAGAAATGTGTTTATTGTCTTCTCAGGGTTTTGGGACCATGCAGTTTCATGACTTAAAGGACATCTTATCGTTGCAGAGCAGATGTTTTATGGTCCACATTGTACAAGTGTTGTAGCTAGAATCTAGATCTATCTAGATTCCCATCTGTTCTAAAACAACAGCTAACTGACCACTGAGCAGTTCTTACTCTTTGCCCAATTTTTTTACCTTAGGTAATGCATCTGGACATTTTGATTTTAGTATTTCCAAATGGTGTGCTCCTGCCCTGTAGTCTCCTTATTTAGACAATCTGTATGTTTCACCTTTGATACACTTTGTATCAAATAACTTTAGGATATGGACTGGATGAATATGGCAAAAGTTGTCTCACTTAAGACACTTTCCACTGTGGTAGTTTAAATGAATTTGATCTTTGAAAACCGAAAATTCCTGCTATTAGGAAATTTAAGCTTCTGATTTAAGAGGTGGTGCTCCATATAATTATATTCTGTAATAGGGCTGTGTGTTCTGAGTTGTAGTCCAACTTTATTTCTCCTTGAACTGACATTTACCTTGCTTTGTACTCTTTTAGACTTTCTCTAATTTGTGGGGAAAACCCTGGAACACTCAATAGCTTACACCTATCTTCAGTTATTATACTATGCAGATTTTTGAAAAAGTACCTGTAGTTCTGGTTGTTCTTCATGTTAAATAAAATTCAAACTAAACCAAAAGCCCTAGCAATTTTTTTTTTTTTTTTTTTTTGAAAATGCAACTGGGGTATAGCTGGAGATAGATAATATCTCATATTTGGGAAGTTAAACTGCATCTAGTTTTTAGTGGTGGCACATAACTGGGAAGATTGAGTATTTGTCATTTTATGACTGGTAAATGAAACACCAGCTCATATGTGTGATTCTGTGAATGACCTACTGGTGTTCTCTGTCAAACTTGTAGAGTCAGTAACGTTTGGTAGGAACATATTCCATATGTACTAGATGAGTGTGATGCTGCTTTATCAGAAATTTGAGTGGTTTTTTTTTTTTTTAATACAAGTGGATCTCATTTCCAAAGAGCTTTGTATTGGAGTTAAAGATGCACCCTTAATGCTTTGTGAGATTTTTCAGATGAGGGAAGATAATGTGAACGTGATATTAAAATGTAGTGATTTTAGCAAAGTGTTTTAGCTAACTTCGTTTTAGCCTCTGTTTGAAATAATTAGCCGTACGAATAAGGGAACTTAAGACTTGGTTTCCTGCAGGCCAGTTGCCTGTGTGTCCTTCCACCTCATCCACGTTAATGTAGCTGTCCGTTATCCCTTGTCCTCTGGTGACTTCTTTCACAGTACTTCAGGGTTCCTTTTATCTCTTTTCCATATTCTCTGATTATCAGCTCAGTAAGAGGCAGTTTATGCTGTGGCTACTTTTGAGGTATTTGTATATTGATTGGCTAATTTGTTGGCAGAGGAGAATGGATAACATTCAGTATCATGCTGCAGATGTTATTTTTGTAATTCAGGACCGGGGAATGGGAACTAATGGGGAGCATTCCTGCAGATAATAGGCTGAGTTTGCTCCTAACCAAAATCTTTTAGACTACTTACTGACTTGCTTTTTTTTTAATGTCTTTTAAAGACAGATGCACACTATTCCATACTGTCTCTTCTGTTGTGTCTGTCTGATTCTCCATCCAACACCACCTATGTGGAAAAACCAAGAGTCAAAGAAGTGGGTAAGTTTGCAGGATGTTTATATTGCTAATAAAAAGATACAAGCAATCTGTTAAGGAGGACATTTTTCCTTGCCATTTTATCTCCTTTGCTTCAAGGTGCTTTGTTGATTGTCTTTTTATGATTTATACATTTAAAATAGCTTGCAGATCTTTCCTACCCCTATTTATGTTACATCGCCTGATTAAGTTTTCCAGCCACCAAAGTACGTCAAAAGCTCGTTTTGTACAGCTATCACTTACTAATGTTCTCCACCAGTTCATCAGTGCTTACATGCTCAAAGACAGACAATGGGTTTCTATCCTCAGTCTCTGTCTTGCACTTCAGTGGCAGGTCTGTTGAAACAGCTGTGGTGATGTAAATTCCTATGTTCCCTATGTAGTCAAGGAAGGAAAGGGAGATACCTTTGAAGGTTTCCAGAGGGAGATCCCAACTGCCTGCTTTCTAAAGTAGGACTGTTTCACTCAGTGCCTAAAAATGAGGCTTGTGCTTAAGTTTGAGTGGATACCATCCCCCATTTGTTTACAGTGTTGTATCATAGACTGAAAGAAGAATATTTCAGACTAACCTAAAGAAAATCTTGCATCTTAAGATTCCTTTTTGAATGATCTCTGCACATTCCCTCGGCGGTGTTTTGAATGCACTTTCAGCCCATTCCAGGAATGTGAATATGAAGAGGTTATCTCAAACAACACTAATTACAGTTGAGTAAGCTTCATGTTTAAGATATAATATATTGTAAGTGTGACTGTTATTTTTAAAGTATTACACATCACATCATGGGTATGTGGTGTCTTTTTCGGAGAGTAAGACAGTTCTTGCTTTATGTTGTTTACAGTCCGGGATCATTGTTCATATGTAAATTATACATTTAGAATGTCTCCACCGAGCTAAATGGGACTAGTCGCAATAAGTGATATGTTGCATTCTTGCATGTTTTTCTAGGGTAGTGTAACATAATACAGATAAATGTGCTGATGGCACATTATGTTGCATATTTTGAATCTATAAACAACAAAACTGAGAATTAATAAATAAGGAATGTACATGGTTGATACTTCACAATTTACATGTCATGTTGAAAGTGTATGACCTTGTTAAAGGAGCAGTGGTGTAACCTTAAGTGGAAGGGAATGCCTTTTGTTGTAGATTTAGAGTAACAAGGTAATTTTAGCTTTGGAAATTTTTTTAGAGGAAAGAAAGTCAGGGTCATGTGATATTTACTGTTTTTGTATATTTATACTTCTCTTAGAAAAGGAAGAAGAATTTGATTGGGGAAAGTATTTGATGGAAGGAGAAGAAATTTACTTTGGCCCTGGCATAGATACACCAGTAAGTAATCTCTTAAGGTAACAAAACCATACTGTATAAACTGGTTCGAAGTATGTTGTTTCTTACTTATCACCATGAAATACACAGGAGCAGAGCAACAGAAATACAAATACAGTTGTTCTTCACCATGTTTTGACTTAGTCCTGCAACTAAACTGGTTCCTTCTGCTGACCCTGTATGCTCCTAATCAGAACTTGCTGTAGTTCTCTGATCTTTTCCAGTTCTCTCATTTGTCCGGTTACTAGTGTTACGTATAACTTAACTGTCTACCAGAGACTGGTTTATGTTAGTTTTAGTGTACTGAATTTACTTTATAGTGGAAGAAAAAAGAGAACAGTTTATATTTGGCTTGAGTAGGAAGTGGAAATGGATCTGTCTGCTGTGTTGTACTGAAGTGTACTGGGTTTTGTTGCACTTAGGATTGGTCTGGAGAAAGTGAAGAGGAGGAAGACACTCAGCCTTTGAGCAGGGAGGACTCTGGTATTCAAGTAGATAGGACACCTTTAGAAGACCAAGATCCAAATAAGAAAACAGTACCTAATGTTTCCTGGAAAGGTTAGAATAAACTGTAATTCTTCTGATACAGTCATACATACTCAAATTTAGAAGTCTAATGCGGCTTTATTGATTATTCTTTAGTGAGGTATTATGGTTTAGACCTATAATTGTAGTTTTAAGGTGTACCTTATTGTTCACTAATGCTTGTTTTATTTTTAACAGTAAAGAAACAATATGGACAGTTTGATCTGATTTCTGTTGTTGCTAATGGAGAAGAATTCTGTTTATTTCTGTAGAAATATACATGGATATTCCAATACAGAAATGAAAACTTACAGAATAAATGTAGCATGTAGTTGTATGGATATGATGTAAATTTTTATTATTAAGAATCAGAATGCTGAAACAGAAATTGGTGGACAACAGAAATGGTTGACTCAGTTCTGGATATGCAGCATTTTTGAAAAAAAAAAAAAATAGTTTAATGTAATTAAAACACTAGTGGCTTACTCTTGAATAGCTTCAGAGAGTATTAACTGTATCTATACATTTTTGCATAGAATGTTGTAGGATATAGGATACCTTGCGTAAGAAGACTGCATAATATTCATATGTTGTATAGGCAGTAGCTATCTAAGTGGGATTAGGTAAAATTTTCTCGATAATCACATTAAAAAAAACCCAAACAACCCAAAACCAACAAAACAGAAACCCCTCATTTTTAGGTAATGTCCTGAACGCATAGTAAAAAGAAACATAGAAAGTTGGTGATATTTGGAAGTTTGGTTTTTTGTTTTTGTTTTTTTTTTAAATCAGCTTGGTTTTGTATATATTATTTGAGAATTGCCTAAGACAGAGGCACATTTTCTGAGGAAGAATTGGAAACTACATAACTCTCCAAGTTTATTTTTTAGGACTTGTGCAAGTTTTAGGAAATGAGGCATTTATATGTAAATTAATTTGTGCATGATGGTATCATATATGTGAGTGCAGTAAAGTGTAAATAGTTGAAAATTCTAACTTACTTGAAAAGGTCTGTGATTCTGCAGCTGTGCGGATGGGCTCACTAATAACTTTTTCCTGTGTGTTTTAAGAATTTCCTGAGTAAATAAAATTACTTCACAGACTGTCATGTGTTTCCACAGTCGGTGAACCTGATGCCCGCAGCTGGCTGGAGCAGCATGTGGTTCCTCAGTACTGGACAGGAAGAGCACCTCGCTTTTCACATAGTTTGCACTTGCATTCCAACCTAGCTGCAGTCTGGTAAGAAAAGTGTCACTTAGATATTCCTTACTGGCACACAACGCTAAGTAATGACTTTATTAAGCATAAAGGTAGTATAATTATTACTGATTTAATTAAAAAAAGAATTAAAAGGGCACAAATTAATAAGATGAACTAATGAGCTGTATTTTCCATTAACAGATTATTTTCCTTTCAATTAGTTTTTGTTATGTTTGTCATATCAGAGAGAGGGTTTTCGTTTTTCAAAGAAGCAAATCTTATTGTTGAACTTTCTTTGGGTTGACCCTTATGAAGGTCTCTGAGGAACTAATATAGGTGTGTTGTAAGTCGTCCTGGAAATGAGTTCCCTAAAGCTTAGCTTTTTGTTTGGTTTTGATCTCTCCCTTACAAAGTTAGTCTTAAGCACAGATTTAGTAACAAAAAGCAGTACATCATTGTGATCCACTGTGGTTTTGGAAAGAAAATGAGAAGGAAGTTCAATTTAAAAAAAAAAAGACTGATTCTTCCCTCCATCCCAAATTCTGATGTATCAGTACTGCAGTGATACAGTTCATTAGATTTGTTATTGGTTCCTTAATTTAATGAATTTCTTAATCAAAGAGTTGAATTTATTTTTGTCAGTTGGTTATCTAGCCAGTTATGAACTAAAATTTACAGTGAATATTAGGAAATCAGTAACATAAATGAAGCAACGCTCTTTCTCTTGCAAAGTTGTTAGCAGATGTATGGTGTGTATATATATGTACGATGTGTAACCAGTATTACTTAATTTGGATTTTTGAATTTTGAACATCATACATGAATTTTGCCACTGATTATATTAATGAGTCAAAATACTAAAAATGGCAATAATTGTTCTATACTTTGCTAAAATACGAAGAATACTGTAGCAGGTTTACAAATAATTGCATAAGACAGGTTCATAAGGGAAGGTTCTTAAGTGGCTGTGAAAGTTTCCGTTTCTTAAGTAAACTTTTGGGCTAAAGTGTCAATTTTCTTATAGGGGTGAGGGAAATTGATATTTTACTTTCTAGCTTGGTATTTTTAACAGAAGGTAACTATAAATTTTCACAGCATTGAATATTTATTATAATAAAATAATCCAGGATCAAGAATTAAAAAAAAAAACCAAACCAAAACAACACAAAATCCAAAACAACCCACATTCGGTATTTCAGGTATTTGCTACTTAATTGCTTGACTTGCTGACTAGATTAGATATGAATGCTTTCCATAGTATTTTGCTTAACAATATGAAAATAAACTTTGTTTTTATTTCTTTAATTAAAATGCCCACATGAACACCGAAGCTACTTGGATACAATTAGAACAAAATAGAGCCTTAAGATTATTTGTTCCTTCTTACTTTCAGGTGATTCATCTCTTATTTGAGCCATTAAATTGTTTAAATTTCTTTTTTTCTAAGGGACCACCACTTGTACACCAGTGATCCATTATATGTGCCAGAAGAGAGAACGCTGGTTACTGAAACTCAGGTTATACGGGAAACTCTTTGGTAAGAGCAACATCAAAAAGCTTGCATATTAATGTTTAGTATTTCTCCTGAGGAAATGAGAGATTTATCTTTGAAGTTGTGTCTGAAGAAAGAATTACTACTGAGCTTTTAGCTTACTCCATTGCTGACAATAAAGATGCTGCTTATGTGTGTGAACCATTCAGATTCACAAAGAAAAAGGTAGCTTACTACTTCTTGTATGCATTGATTTTTCAAGTGTAACTGTTAAGAACCACCAACTTGCTTGTGTCCTGCCCCCACGGATTTTTAATACAGTGTCCAATTTTAAAAAGGAGGTTTGAATCATCCTATAGCTGAAAATTATTTCAAATGGAGTGGAACTTTCAGAGATGTGTACTTGGTGCCAGTGTTTCAGTGTTCCTGTTCTAGCATCATAGTTGAAGAAAAACTTTTAGGCAAGGGAGAGCTTTTATTAATTATATAATTATGTATCCTATAAGGGGGAAAAATTATTACTCTTCTCTTTCTTTTCAAGGCTACTTTCAGGAGTGAAAAAGCTTTTTATATTTCAACTGAATGACGGAAAAGTGGCCGTGCGGAATGATATTATTGTAACTCATTTAACCCATGTAAGTTGTTTCTGAATTTCCACTATCGTTCTAAATTTAGTCAAGACACATCTGACTTAATAAAGCTGAATGGGCTGTTCCCCTATGTGAGAATGTGATGAAGTGGCAGAGATAGCAGAATTTCATTATATTTTATGTTGTAGCAATATGTTATGATTTAATTTTTAGGCTTTATAAAATACACATTTTTATTAGATGATTCTAAAAAGTTTTTTGGGGTTTTTTTTTCCCTAGAATTGTCTGAGATCTGTATTGGAGCAGATAGCAGCATATGGTCAAGTTGTCTTTAGACTACAGAAATTTATTGATGAAGTGATGGGTCACAGCCCGGAAAACATAATGCATGGAACAGTTTCCACTCCAAAGAAAACTACTGAAGCCCCGTTCAGAACCTATCAAGCTTTTATGTGGGCATTGTATAAATATTTCATTAGCTTTAAAGAAGAACTTACTGAAATTGAAAAATGCATAATCAACAAAGGTACAGTGCAAGGGGAATTTTATGGGGCGGGGAGGAGGCACAAGGAAATTTTGTAAGAGGGAAACATGCAAATCACTACACAGATACATTTTGAAACTGTGAAAGATGAAATGCTGCTTTTTAAAACCTCATTAATAACATTGACGAAATGTGGGTTTCTGTTGGATGTTACTTTCATACATTTTTTATTTCCCTCCCCCCCAGATAAGACAGTCACACTTTCAATAGTAATAGATAAGTTGTCTCCTCGACTGGCACAGCTGAAGGTACTTCACAAAGTTTTCAGCACAGGAGTAGCAGAAGTGCCACCTGACACTAGAAATGTTGTCCGAGCATCTCATCTGCTTAATACTCTCTACAAGGCTATTCTTGAATATGACAGTGTTGGAGAAGCATCTGAGCAAACGGTAGGGGAAGTCATTCCTTCCTTAATAGAATGACACACTAGACTATTTAGTAACTTAAACTTCTTTATGGTGATGGAATACACTAGCCGGCAGCTACTGGAAATTGAGGACAAATTTGATTGCCATAATGCATTACTGCCTGAAACCAGGACATAGATGTCCTTTTTTTTTTTGCTTAAGAGATATTAGAGTGGAAAAAAAAAACCCAAACCAGAAAACTGCTGTTTGAGTCTGTGATGACAAAAAGTAACACAGGGAAGCATGCACAATGAGTGCTGCTATTAAAACTACTACAGCTGTAATTTTCAGTTGAATGTGTCATCTTTAAAAATCCCTAAGTGTAGTTATGTATATCTTACAAGCTATAATTGCACAATTAAGAGATTAGGCTTTGCCATATTGCTTCTAATGTTTACTATTAAAACATTCAGCTGCTTGTTTGGCTTTTTTTGGTGTTTTTATTTAATTTCTTTAAATTTAGGTATCCCTTCTGTTTTCTCTCTGGGTTGAAACTGTGAGGCCATACTTACAGACAGTGGATGAGTGGATAGTCCATGGTAACTTGTTTGATCCTGCAAAGGAATTTATCATTCAGAGGTAGGGGTGCTGATACTGGACACACATAATGCTGTACAAGGATTAATACAAAACTTGTTGTAGAACCTAGGAAGTAAAGGGTGACAATAAAAGTAGGTTTTCACATTTGTTATTTTACTTGAGTAGAATTAATTTCTTCATCATACTTTTATGACTGGTCTGAGATTCCCCATTAGGGTAATTGCATTAGATACGGAGTCCTACCAGCTGTTATTCTGGAACAAAAATCAATTGTCTTAATTTTCCCATCTATAATAAATAATCAGCAGTCTGACTCTGAGTGTGTTGACTTTTTATAAAAAGCAATTAACGATTTTTCAAAATCAATATGTTTGCAAAAATTACAAAAAGTTTACTTTTTTATATTCTTGTACTAATCTATAGTTGTAATAAATCAAATGCTATTTAGAATTGAAATACTCATTCCTTCTGATCTGTAGTACAAGTTAATATGGTGTTTTGACTTATATGCATGTATCCTAAATGCTATTTGAGCTGTTAATTTATCTTCTGTTTGCATGTTATGTTTTGCTGGTCACTTTTTTGACAGCTTGAAGTGGAAAGTGAATATAGAACTTAGAATTTTGGCTCATAATTAGAGATCAGGTCCCCCCTATCAGCCCTAATTAACTGAACCTCTGTCTGTTAAGGCACGTAAAGGTGAGCATGAAGAGAACAGCTTTAGTACTATTGTAATAAATCCTTATTAGCTGAGTTCTCTAACATCCTTATTGTGTCCTGCTTGACTTCTCTTTCTAGTTCTGTAGTTGTGTTTTCAGTGCTACCAACAGGGGTGATTTCACCTTGTATTTGAGCTTCATTTTAATTATCCAATACAGGTTGTTTTCCATCTGACTTGAAAGACCGAACTCTGTGTCTAATGTAAACAGCACAAAAGAGCAAAGTGAACTAAAAGTTGAGTTTCGCCTACTCTAGAATTTTTCAGCTTTCCTAGTAGTATTTGCTTCATTGTGGGTATTAAATAAACCTTCAAGTCAATCACTAATGATTTTGTTATTAAGAATGAATGGTGCTGTGAATAGTTAACTTCCTGGACAAATTTAATTAAAAGTACTCTATTTCCCTTGTTTGGGGGGTTTTATTTGGTTATACAGTTGGTGTTATATCCTGTGAGCTAATTCTTTATGCTGTTAAAGCTATCATCCTTTCCAGGGTGTCTAGATAGTTTCTGATACAGCTGAGTATATTTTATAGTTTTGAAAGTGCTTCTTGACTGTTCTAAAAGAAAGGTAAAGCATAGAGCAAAGATAATATGCATCTTCTAGTAAGGAAGTTTCATCTTTTGGAAAGAGAAACACTCAACAGCTTTTTATTTCTTTGCAGAAACAAAAATGTTCCAGTTAATCACAGAGATTTCTGGTATGCTACCTACACCTTATATAGTGTGTCAGAGAAGACAGAGAATGAAGAGAAGATGAGTGATAATGCCAGTGCCAGTTCTGGCAGTGATCAAGCCCCTTCAAGCAGGCAGCACACTATGGTCTCTTTTCTGAAACCTGTGCTAAAGCAAATCATCATGGCTGGAAAATCCATGCAGCTGTTGAAGAATCTTCAATGCAAAGACGGCTCTCCGCAGCAGGCTGCATCAAGAGGTGAGATGTCAGTTTGTGGACTATCATGCCTTAGGATATCTAACATTGAGTGGGGTTTTTTGGTTGTTGGGGTTGTTTTTTTGTAGTGGCAGTAGTGTTTCCATGGTTTTCAAATAATATCAGTATTACGGTTGGTAACTTCAGGTCTGATTGAAAACACTTAGTCTTCCAATGCAAATAAATGAAAAGAGCAAAGTGAATAAAGATTGAGTGTTCCCTTTGTTTTTTACTGCTTTAAATTTTTCTTAATCTTGTTTTCATATGCTTGAAAACATTTTTAATGAGACAAATGAAAACAGCTTCTATGATCTAATAGTAAAGCTGTTTTGTTTTAATAGGTAGTTTTCCATTACTAAGTGTTTGAATAATAGCATGTAGAACTTTTTTTTTAAAAAGGCTTACTAATAATTAGATGAAAGATACTTATCTTGAATGATTGCAAAACATAGTACAACAGTGTAACCAATATTGATTTTTTTTTAATTTTTAATATTTTTTTGAAACAAAATACATTTTTTGGTTTTGCTGTTTCTTCGTGTTTAGAAGTAGAGATAGTTAAATTCTTTTGGAGACTCTAAGTTTATTTCCCCTTTGGTGTCAGAATATAATTTATTCTATTGAATACTAGAGGGTTGTTTCAGGTGCTAAGAATTAACTGCTTTTGTACCTAAAGGAGGAAGTTCTCTAACAGTCTCAGAAATACTTCACATTTCAAGACACCCATTCAGCAATCCAATTGAATATATGCCTGACCTTAGGCATTGGACTAGTCCTACTGTTTTAGCAGTACTTATTTGAATATGTATTTGAGTTTTTTCCTGAATAGTGGCCTAAATTTAGTACGTTAAAAGTTAGCAAGTAGATGTTGGACTATGGAGTGCTTCTCTTAGTTCAGATGATGTTTTCTTTTAGAACAAAATCTTACTGTGGAATGTGTTGCCCAATTTAGATGCTGAACGAAAGAGTTTGTATACACTGTTCTTGGAATCTGTGCAGTCTCGCCTGCGGCATGGGGAAGAGTCTGTTCCAGATATTATTACAGAACAGCAGGCCACAAAGCAGAGCCTGATAAAGATGCAGTCTATAGCAGAAAGACACTTGGAACTGGATGATGTCCATGACCCACTGCTGGCTATTAATTTTGCCAGGTAAATGAATGATCTTCCTGCTGTGTTGTTGAGAGCAATGTTCTGCCTGGTGATGCTTGGTGAACCAAATTTTTGTTGCTGCTGCTGACAACAAGCAAGTGCAGAATAAAGAGGAGCACCAACAATCAGTGACAGAAGCTAAATAAACACTACCCTTGATTTTCTTTAATTAAGAGCAATTAAAATCAGTGGAAAATCTGCTACTTACATCTATTAGCATAGAAAATGGGAGTCATCTTTATCATAACAGGCTTTTAGCAAATAAGTGTTTGAACAGTGAGTGCTGTTGTAACATCTAAACTTTTAAATGTGTTTGCTTGGAATTTATACACAATGTCTTTGATTTGCACCAGGTGTATTCTTTGAAGAACACAGCTTCAGTTGTGTTGTGCTTAAATAATTTGAATTTAAAAGCCTTCCAAAATTCATGTTAATTGCATAAATATTCTTCATTCCTCATAATGAGGAAAGTCATATAGAGGTGTTAAATGTTTTGGGAATTGGCAAGAAAGATGAACTCTGAAAATCTTACTTATTTTGTGATTGCAAGTAAGAAATAGCTATTTATGTTTTTCTTAACATTTCAGTCCTAGGAGGAGTTTGTTTTAAAGAAATCATAATTAGTAGTAGATAAGACTCTATTACTTCCCTTGTTCATTGGAACTATTCTATTTGTAAAAATTAGATAGATTTCTGATTCATCGAGTCTATCAAGGTGATAGCTGCTATGAGCTTGGTTTCCTCTTACAATGGATACAGCTAGCAAGTAGCTTTTTACAAATTATTATAATAATTTGATCCTTTCTGTGACAAAAATAATTAAACTTACCAAGTATAGTCTGCAGATACTCTCTTTGCCTAATACAATACTACAGATAATATATAGGGACCCTGTATTTAAGATGCCCGAAACCAATTCTCTCAGTGTGTGATGGTTTGGGTTTTTTGTTTGTTTGTTGGTTTTTTGTTGGGTTTTGCTGCTTTTTTGTTGTTGTTCAAATTTTTACTTTGTTTCTTTAATTTTATTTTTCTTTCCTGGGAAGTTTATCTGACTGCTGTTTATACTCAATATAGTTTTAAAAGTTCCTGTGATAATGGATTTGTTTATTAAGCTGTGCAGTGTTTGAACTTGATGTTGTTTTTCAGAATTATTTCTTGAGGAATTACGTGATTACAGTATGCCATTGTTATGCTTGGTCATACAAAAACAGTATGAAGGATCACTTAATAGGCTTGATATGTGCTGTAGTTATAATACAGCTTTTATTACTTCTGCACCATGTATTTTAGAGCAGAGGATCCAATCTTGATTAAAATAGTTGAAGGTATGACATTTTTGTTTTATATATTGTATGAATTATGAACCTTTTTCCCAAAGTAGTTTATTTTATTTTGAAGATTATATCTGGAACAGAGTGACTTTCACGAGAAGTTTACTGGTGGGGATGTTTGTGTGGATAGATCGTCAGAATCTGTGACCTGCCAGACTTTTGAACTGACATTGAGGTCTTGTCTTTATCCACACATAGACAAGCAATACTTGGAATGCTGTGGTAATCTAATGCAAACTTTGAAGAAGGATTATAGGTAAGAAAGTAGATTTGTTTTTCCTAACATTTTTTGTAATTACCAGTGGTATGCTATACACTGAAAGCGGGAATTTTGTGTTTCTACTCCCGATTTGTTAATAACAATAAAATCATTTAGGAGAAAAGGGGGATCTAACATGACAGAATCCTGGGTGAAAACTTGGTCTAGCTTAAATCAACATCAAAGCTATCATTTGTCTTCAGTGGATGTTCAACAGGGAAATTGTTTCAAACAGTACTTTTAATAATGTCATTTGAAACTGGAAGACAAATTTCAGGAAGCCAGAATCTATTTTTTAGTATGCGATTCAGTTATGATACTATAAAATCTATAGTAGACAAAAGACTATTATGCAATATTTTTGTATTACTTACAGTAAACCGGCCTATTCCTTTTAGCTTTCAGGTGGTCATAAGTCTTCATGTTTTTAATCTGTGTGAAATACTCACTGTATTTATAGTCACGGCTCTTGTGAGTTGTAACAGTACTATTATTCCTACTTTATCAGAAAAGGAAAATGCATATCATAATTTTCTGGGGCTCCATTTAAAGTCTCTTCTTAAATAAACTCTCCTTGAATTTGCATCTCTTCCCTAAGTTCTGTTTAGGGAGAGGGACAGCATTTCCAAACTCTAAGCTATTTCTGAGAATTTCCTAGCCTGTAAGATAGCTCTGTTGAAGTTAGTGCTGTTGAAGCTTACGGGGAAAAAAATGGCTTGGTTATTTTGTTTTATTTGAACGTATGTGCAGACTATCTGAGGGTTAAGCAGAGGATTTACTGTGGACTTCATTAAGTTTGTGCTCAATACTGAGTTCTTGTAGTGAGGAGTTTTTAAGATTTTTATTTCCGTAACAGTTGTGTTTGATTTCATTTGTATAATTAAGACTGAGGAATTTTTACATGTTTGTTCCCTGTTTAGGCTTGTAGAATATTTGCAGGCAATGAGAAACTTTTTCTTACTCGAGGCTGGAGATACAATGTATGACTTCTATACATCTATTTTTGACAAAATTAGAGAAAAGGAAACTTGGCAGAATGTTGCTTTCTTAAATGTTCAACTCCAAGAAGCAGTTGGGCAACGCTATCCAGAGGACAGTTCAAGGTAAAATGCAAAATCCTGCAAAATATAGTTCAGTTATGTTTCTTTTACACTTACTATACTAAGGTACTGCATAGTGCAGTACTAATTATTGCATGCTCATTACAAGAATCTGTTTTAATGAAGTTTTGAACTGTTGTCATCTCTTCTACCCAAGTCCACCAGATGAAATCAGACAGTTGGTATTTAGCAATAAGAAATAAAAATAGAAACTAACTGCTAATTTAAAGCAGATTATCACCAATTAAATCACTTGTTTCCTTGCATAGGTTGTCTATATTATTTGAAAGTATTGATACAGCAAAGAAGAAACTGCCTGTCCACACCTTAGATGGTTTGACATTGAGTTACAAGGTAGTGACCTAATATTGCTGCAGTTCTTATTCTATAATAACAGATTTGAAATGTTGTATTAAAGTCACTTACATTTTCTGTCTTGATTATCCTCTCCTCTTCTTAGGTTCCTTGGCCTGTGGATATAGTTATAAGCTTAGAGTGCCAGAAAATTTACAATCAAGTTTTTCTGCTCTTACTGCAAATAAAGTGGGCCAAGTATAGTCTAGATGTTTTACGATTTGATGGTAAGAAACTTCTTCAGTGAAAGATACTTGTTTTGTCGTCTAAAGATATAGATAGTCTGCTGCTTTCTGCAGTAAGTAGTATAAACAAGTCAGAATTTTGATTCATTCCGTAAAATATCAATCTCCATTAGCTTGCAAATTACATGTATTAAGCAGAGTGTGTTTTTTCACTTAGGCCTCAGGGACAACACTATTTATTCATGCATTCCCTTTGTCTGTTTGATTCAGGTCTAGTTAGTTGCTGTTGAAAGAAGGTCTGTCTACCACACCCTAATGTTTTGTTTTATGTATAATTCATGTTTTTATTAGTAATACTTTGCAAACAAGTTAAGAAAATAAGATGAAAAAATACTCTGAGATTGAAACAGTAAGCTAGATAGTTTCGAATACGTACTCTATGCTACAATTTAAATATTTGGAGATTGTAGAAAGAGATCTCTTAGTGTCTCCTTCACCAGGTTAATGTTTATATTCCCATATAAAGTGGATAAACACTTCATGTCCTAGAAAAATAAATTAGAAAGTTGATGGGTTCATCTCTGTTTTGTACATCAGTTAAGTAATTCTCTTCCTAAAAGTATGTGGTTTTCTATTGCTTAAACTTCATGTGTATAGCTTTCTGCTTAAGCCTTTTCGCCTTTGTGTATGCACATTTATTTTTAATGTAGCTATTTTTTTATCCTTTCACATAATCTTTAGCTTTCAAATAGCATTTTCTATTCTAGTATTTATCAAACTGCATTGTCAAACTATTCAATATATTGCTATATTTCAATAACACAGCTGCATTGCAAGAAAAATCTTGCATCAGTATTGTGTGCAGAATAGTAAGAAATAGCAAATTTCAGGTTTAAGTAACATTTTAGCTACAGTTTGTCTTCATAAGCATTTCGATATAATACTCTTGCCTCTTCTTTTTAGAACTAGTCTGTGCTGCAGAAAACCCACAGGTTAAGGAAGGAACCTTATTAGAACAAGGAACGCTTCCTCTATTTGGACCTCAAACAGAAAGTGTAAAACAACAAATACATCGCATGTTCCTCTTAAGAGTGAAACTTATGCATTTTGTTAACAGCCTGCACAACTACATCATGACTAGGGTTTGTCTTATATCACAGTTTCATTTATATTAAGAACTGGTAACTGGACATGCAGTATTAATTTTAGTTTAAAACATGAAAAACAAAAAGCAAAATCTTAGTCTAATGTCCTTTCTCCAAAATAAGTTTGAGCTAAACATGTTTCAGTTTTAACTTGGCAGTTCTAAATCAGTAATTTTAAAAATGCTTTAGAAGTTCTACATGCATATGATTGATCTTTGGATATTATTAGTTCTTTTTGACTGTTTCTCCCGGTGTTGGATGGCTGAAGTACAGTCATGTAAAAATAGATTTCTGTAAGCTGTTACTTTCTTAAGAGAGCTATTATGCTTATGAAAGCATTACTGCAGGTATTTTAAAAGTTAAAGGGATCCTTCTCAAAAATCTCTAGTACACGGATCCAAAAGCGTATACATGACTTTTCAAATATAAAGGCAATGCTTGTAGATTCATATCTGCTCTACTATTGCATTCTTTTGCCTTTAATATACTCCAGCTCCTCTGGGGATAGTCTGTCTGCCCTTGTGCAAAGGCAATATTCCTATTTATAGGAGGAATGTCATTGTGCAGGTATAAGAAGAGCTTGAACTTTTTGCTATATTGATGGCAATCTTAAACTTTAAAAGAAAATATTGGAAGAGAGTCATAAGCACTTGTGTGCAACGTGGAATTTAATAACTATGATTTTCTTCTTAAGATTCTACACAGTACAGGGTTGGAGTTTCAGCATCAGGTAGAAGAAGCCAAAGATTTAGATCAATTGATAAAGATTCATTACAGATATCTATCTACAATCCATGATCGCTGCTTACTGAGAGAAAAGGTGGGTTAAAAAAATTGGCACATTTGATATATTGAGTTTAGCAGGACAAGAAAGTAGTTCAGTACTAATTATGCTGTCTGTTTTGCAGTTCATACATACTAAGCGATATATAGGTGCTCTTGAGGAAATAGTAGCTTTTCCAGAGTTAACATTGAGATCCAGTTTCTCTTGCAAGTCTCAGCTCAACTTTATCAAGGAGAGAAAATAAAATTAAATTCTTTATATTGGATTTTACATGAGTCATTTCTTTGTAAGAGGTGAGAGGATTTGAACAAACTGAGGCTTGGTAATGTAATGAGGATTATACATACTGGTATGGCAGGAAGTGGCAGTACATGGGTACATTGTAGCCTTTTATCCCACATACTGTCTGTGCTTAGTCCTCATCAAAATAGTCAGCCATGAAATGAATTAGAGAACAAATACAAAACACATCTTAAATTTGGAATAATCACATTGCAGTTAGGATCTGTTTTTACAGATCAGATCAAATGGCATGGGATATGTTTGTATTGCAGCTTAATAATGAAAATAATTATGCTCAGCAATGAATTTCTGACTGTTACTCCTTTTGTTTTAATTGTTATATTAGGTGAGCTTTGTGAAAGAAGCTATAATGAAAGTGTTGAATTTAGTACTGATGTTTGCAGACCGTTGGCAGGCTGGTTTGGGGGCTTGGAAGTAAGTATACATACCTAAAATTCTACATGGTCATAATTTTACAGCTTAGACTATGATTTCGAGATTTTTTTTTAATGTGAAATAACAGGAACTTTGCTCAGTGTTTAACAGCAGATACCAGAGGCTAATTGCTATTTCTTAGCAACAGTGAAATTTTATTTTAGATAGAATTTAACAAGTTTCATGCATTTATGTAAGTGTATGTTCAGTATTTTCTAACTAAAAAGGTGGCCAATACATAACTTCTAAGTGTTTGAAAATATTGTAGAGCATAGCAATAAAGAGGATTTTCCTTCGTATTTGTTTGTAACAGTAAAATGAGAGGTTCACAGGTTTGGTTTATGATCATGTTTCCTGGTGATGATTTAAAATTGTAAGCAGCTAGATGCTGACATTCATTAATTGGTTTATGAAAAGTGGGATTACTTAGTTTGGCCTTCATTCTAGAGGGCAATACATTTTTGTTTTTCTTTAAAAAAGTAAATATCTAAATCTAAGCTCTAAATGTCCATATTTTACTCATCTGGACTGTTCAAATTATAAAATCTACAATGATCATCTAGCCCAACTGCCTGACCACTTCAAGGCTGACCAAAAGTTAGTAATTACAGGCATGGTCAAAATGCCTCCTAAACGCTGACAGGCTTGGGGCATGGACCACCTCTCTAGGAAGCCTGTGCCAGGGTTTGACCACCCTCTCGGTGAAGAAATGCTTCCTAATGCCCAGTCTGAACCTCCCCTGGTGCAGCTTTGAGCCGTTCCCACACATCCTGTCCCTGGATCCCAGGGAGAAGAGCTCAGCACCTCCCGCTGCACTTCCCCTCCTCAGGAAGCTGTAGGGAGCGGTGAGGTCGCCCTCAGCCTCCTTCTCTCCAAACTAGACAAGCCCAAAGTCCTCAGCCGCTCCTCGGGGGACATTCCTTCCAGCCCTTTCACCAGCTCTGTTGTCCTCCTCAGGATGCATTCAAGTACCTTTAACATCCTCCTTAAATGGTGGGGCCCAGAACTGCACACAGTACTCAAGGTGAGGCCGCACCAACGCTGAATGCAGCGGGATAATCATCTCTTTTGAGGGGCTGGTTATGCTGTGCTTGATGCACCCCAGGACAGGGTTTGCCCTCTGGGCTGCCAGGGCACGCTGCTGACTCCTAATGAGGTGGCTGTCAGCCAGCACCCCCAGATCCCTTTCTGCAGGGCAGCTCCCCAGCCACTCTTCTCACCATTTATGCTTTGCTTGAAGGATGAATGATAGTGGGCAAGTCTCTAAGGCTATGTCTGACACTCAGGGGGTTGATCTGTGGCCCTGAGGCCAGCTGGTGTGGACTGGCTCACATACATGTTTTTCAGGACTAATTGTCTTTGGCACAGATGCTACCTAGAACTTGGAACCCACTCTCCTGTGGCATTATGAAGTTGCTATTTTTTTGAGTGCTTTTCCAATTCAAAGTGTCAGAAATAATTTGTGAAGACTGATAAAGACTAAAACTCAGGGCACGTGGTTGCATGCTCTTGGATGTGGCAGGAAAAAGTCATAGCTAATGTAGTGTCATCTGTATCCTCTGGGGAGAGGGGAAAGAGAAAAGAAGTGGCTGTTGTGAACTATATCGTCTTTCTCCTCTGGTAAGCGCTAGCTGGCACAGTCCAAAGTGGAATTCAAGAGCTGGCTGATAGTAAAGCAGCGTGGGTGTCCCTGTTTTATTTGGCAGTGTAGGTGTACCCAAAGGAGCCCTGAAGCAATGGGGATGAGGAATGGCTGTCTTGAAATACAAAACTATGTAGGAATAATAGTTGTCTGTTGGAGCCACACAATTCCTCCTAGTTACTACAGAGATTCTAAGATGATGAGGAAATTAATGCCATTGTGATAGTGCTCAGACACTCCTGTCAAAATTGCCTTGGTTTTCTAGAAGTGGTATACACTGGCATAATTGAAATATTGTCATTTTGTCACTTACTGTGAAGTTTTGGTCATGTTTTGAAGATAACATAGTGGCTAGTCTGTTAAGCATTCCTCTGTTAAACTGTTTCATAGGATGGAATCCATAGAGAAGATGGAATCTGATTTTAAAAACTGTCACATGTTTCTTGTAACTGTTCTCAACAAAGCTGTGTGTCGAGGCTCTTTTCCTCACTGTAAGTACATGAGGCTTTTCACATACCTGCACTTACTGGGACACAAGCTTTACTAGGAATGTATTTACATTTTAATCTGTTCTAATGTTTTTCAGTACATCTTAAAGAATCTCATTTTGTGAGGTATTCAGAGGGACATGATGCCTTACTTCTTAAGAAGTTAATTTCATTATTTTTTTAGAGTATTTGTGCCATGCTTTTTTTTGTGACAACTGTCTTCAGTTTACCTGTTTTCTTGATGAGGGGATGCTGATGTAGCCAAGCAAGTGACAAACGGTTTTCTAGATGAATGAAGCTAAGTTCATTCACTAAGGGCATAGAAAAGCATTCTTTAGTTGTTGGATGACAGCTGTGATATATCTTGAACAGATAAAATTGTAGTAGTGCATCAGCTGCAACTGCACCAAGCTCTTGGCTCTGCTTATCTGTTGGAAGTTACTTCCTTGGTAGCAGAAACAGCAGAAGACAACATGTCTGTGCTTCTACTTGCAGCCTGACGTTAGCTTAAATTGCTAATCAGTGCCAGTTTGAGTTAGGGGGGGCAACTGCTGCATGGGGTTAGCTGGGGTGTAGATGCATGTTCTAACGGGGTTCTGAAAGAAGTAATATCTGACAGCACTGCTACTCAGTCTACAAGAGCTTGTCTGTAAGAACCATCCATGAGAATGGCTTATTGCGTATACTCCCCCCCAACATTTATTCTTTCTTTTTTTTAGTGTACAACAGTTAGTATTTCAAAGAAAGGAGCTAATTTCTCACTGGTTCTTACCACCTGAAATAACTAATGGGTAACTGATGATGAAAGTAGTGAAATATTGTCTAAACTGTCAGAGATTCACAAAATGTCTTACTGTCTTAATTCCTGAAGTGTTACAATATTAAAAACTAAACTGGTGTATTTCTTTTAAACTACAGAGTTGAATATTGCAATAACTATTTGCAGACTGCTGCAAATGCAGATATTAACTGCTATTTTATGGTTTGGTTTGCAGTGGAATCTTTAGCTTTGTCACTGATGGCGGGCATGGAACAAAGTTAACACCTGAATCTGTTGAAATACTGAAGAACTGAAAGCAGCATATATATTGAAATTTCAGTGTTAAAAAACTGTAAGCATTTTACACTCCAGTTTAAAATGTGTGTAGGTAAATGACACTGATGGTTTGGAGCTGTGTAAAATATTTTAAAATGTAAGTAATGTACAGGTATTTAAGTGTATTGGTTGTGGCAGTATTTTTTTCTGTATGTATATGCTTCAACATCACAAAACATGTACAGTGTAAAATTCATCCTGTGTAAACAATCTTACTTGAAAAATACATAAAAAGTATTTCATGCTGTAAAAAGGATTTTTTTTAAAAAAAAATATGAATAATTGCTGATTTACTTTTTCCATTAATTTTGCAGCTGTCTGTCACAAAACAGTGTAGAGTGGTATGACTCAATTCTTATTATTCCAAAGGTTGGTTGAGTTCATTTTTGGCCTTTTTTCCTTTAGAAAAAAAGGCTAAGAAGCATTCATCTTATTTGCTTAATGGTTCTTAAGAACTCTTTGGGAACAGTTGTGACTGTTACAATAAACTGATGGAAAAATACAAGGTGAACTTATAAAAATGAATTATTGCAGACTATCAAATACCAATATTTTTTATGTTAAATGATCAAATGCTTACTAATTTAGTGGTAGCTCTTGTCAGTTTAAGTAGAATCAAGATCAGAGTGTGTAATATATTAATTTTAACCATTGGCTTGTTCAGATGTTTCAGAGGTGGTCAGATATGACTTGACTGTTCTCCTCCTAAGCCTTTTGCAAACAAACCTTACACATAATAGCTAATGTCATGTAAAGCAGTAGATTGTAATATGGAAGGGTACATTTCTAGAGAAATAAATGTGGAACATATTCTGCACAAGATGACTTTCCCTGTTTCCTCCCCATGGAAGTTTCCCTGCAATTCTGGCATCAGTACACCTGCATTTAAAAAGAGAAAATCAGTCACAGCCATTTACCTCTTCATTTGAATAAATAAAAGATTTAATAATTGAAATGTCACCATTGTGTCTGTTTCTGCTGAAATCCAGTTGGTAACTTAAAGTTTGAGGGCTGTTTCTGCAAGGTAAATGAAGTGTATTACTACCAACTCTGAGACTGTGTGGCTCACAGCTATAAAACTTTTTTTTCAGCTGTGAGCTGGTAATTATATGAAAATGAATATTGGGGTCCTTGTTTGAACAGGATATCTCGAAAGGTTCTTCTATGATACAGCCATTAAATGTTTTCAGAAAAAATAATTTTAATTTTTTTTTTAGAAGTAAAACACTTGGAAGCTTTCTGCTGCCCTGTAGCATATTCTTCTTTGTTTGACTGAGTGGAGGTTTTGCTTTAGAGAACATGATGTTTTATATTATCCACATGACATGGTTGCATTAACCACATGACACACTTTTCCAAGTGGATGTTTTGAGTGGTAGGTGGACACCTATTAACCGAAGTAATTTGTACTTCCAGTTTACCATGACTGGTTCTCATTTGAGATTTTGTGTTACTTATTGCATGCTTAGACTTTGCTCCCTCAGAGTAAAACTGAATAGCATACTAATAGTTTTAAAAGGCATACTTGTACTAGGAAGTTCAGCACTTGTATGCAGTGGTTCACTAATTTTTCAGTGTATGTATGTCTTGTACTCTGTGCTTTTAAAAATCTAACAAGTGGTTACTTTATTTCTTCTTTCTGTATGGTGGTTACCTTCAGTGAAATTACTGCTTTTCATAGACTTACCCTGGATAATGTTAGCTAGATACAGGGAAAAAAAATCCTTCAATCTTTCATGTTGATAAAACAATAATCCCTAGTACATTCCACTTACAGATTTTACTTTATTTGAAAGACCCCACACAAGTGAAAGAATTGAGCATTTCACCCAATGTCCTGCTTAGGAATTAACTGTATGTTCTGCAGAGAGACTTTTGGTGGCTTTGGAGGTGGGAGGTGCCTGCATGTAATTTTTCAGCCAGCTTCCAATATTTGTTAACTCTTCTGTCATCACAGAAGCACAGTGGAAAATCTAGCTCTGGCAATGTTGGCTGATTTTAGTCACGGACATCTTCCATGCTTAGCTTTTTATATGTCAGTAATACTCAGCTGATAAATTCCTTTGAATGAGTCTGTCTTATGGCATCCCTTTCTCTTTCTTTGGAACTGCAGAAAAGTCCTTTCTTTTCATGTGCATGTCCTGTGATGCCACCAGGACCTTTTCATCAGCCCCATGGCAGTAATTAAAAAGCTATTTACGTGTTTGGAAAAAAGAAGGCTTGCAGTGAGGTTTGGGGTATTTTAGCTATTTATTTGCTCAAATTTCCTTGTAACATTTTTGTGTTTTTTTTACAGAGCAGTATTGTTACTTGGCTTCTGTGCTGGGTCCATTCCTTCTGGACATTTTTTGACCTTGTTTCCAAATTCCCATTGTTATCAGTTATCTGTGAATTGATTTGAATCTTAATTTTTGGACATTCTTTGCTGAGGAGACCTAGCACATGTGTATGCTTTACTTACACTTGTGGAATTTCAAGTAAGCAATTGCAGCAATGTTAGAAAAATGATGTCTAATTTACTGCATGTGTGTATAGATTTAAGGGGGTTCTGTCATAGTCTAGCTAAAGGAAAGCAGAAAAAAATACCCAGCAAAGCATGTAGAAACTGAACTTTCTAAGCTTTTAAAGGGGTATCTTCTAATTTAAAACCATATTTTTAAAAAAGCCCGCTAGATGGCAGATCTTAAAGTTTCAAGGGAATTTTTTATTAGTTGATCTCTTTCTGGGCTCATGGCTGTTGCTTTCGTAATATCAAAAGGCTAATCTGTATTTAAATGAGAAGGCATGTGTTTCCCCTGAATACATCTGATCTAAAAATCATAAAATAAGAAATAATTATTTTACAGTTTTTTCTAAAAAATCATTCTTGATTATGGAGAAGAAGTTTTAATGAATCATTGAAGGAGGAGAAACATAATCTGGTTTTTAGTCATAGCCAGATTATTCTGATCCTAGAGTACTTGAAAGTAGAAAGAGAGAAACTGTTTAGATCTTGGGCTCAGCCATGTTCTTCTATTTTATACTAAGGCACAAAAAGGCCTGCCTGGGTCTTTGAAACATGGGAGTAAGTACTTAAATGATCTACAAGGGAAAGTGAATGGCTTTAAAAAGCAGCAGTGATACAGGTGGAACAACAAGCATGGATTTGGGTGCTTAAAAGTAAGGATTTGGTTAGGTGGTATTAGAGAAAATTGTAATATTAATGGTAAGATGTTATGTCTGACATTTAAAATTCTTTGGAAAAGAACACACTGTATTATTGGATGCTGTCACAGTTTCATCTATACTTCATTTCCACATTTGTTTTCTTTATCTTCTGGGCGCACTCTCTCATAAAAGTTGCAGCATAGAAGCCCTTATCTATCTGGCTCAGTACTTTTTTTCCTTCTCCTTGTCTTTCCTGTGGGCTTCTATAATCTCTAGGCCACATTTTAGCACAGATTTACTAAATTTTCCAATGCTTTCTTCCTTGTTTAGTTTTAATAACCTTAATTAACCACTCGGTCCTTGAGAACCTTTGCTTGTGTCAAGCTATTGATATCCAAAACTTTAGCTACCAGTTGTTGATTGCATGTTTTCCATAGTTGCATGGATTAAAGATAGTGTCTCCAAATTGCAGACTGATTAAAAACATTATAAAAATCCTTCTTTTTAATCTTACTAACTGTAGAGATTTGTAAATTTTCCAGCTTTCCTCCTGTACACAGGTGGACAGCTGGAACTGTGTCTTTAGCACACTTACAGAAAAACCTTTCCTCACTGGTACAATTCCTATTGGATTGTGCAGTGGCTTGTTGTGCTATGCATTTATCGCTGGGAAGGCTGTAGGGGATCACAGGTCTTGGGGTCATGTTAGCTAATAAAGTTGCCAGCATTAGAGGGGCAGGGTTGGGGTGAAGAGTGGGTGGGATGAATTGCCCAGCGTGCGTGCCCTAGTTTCTTGTATTGATGTCCTGCATGAGCAAAATGAATGTAATTTATAGTAGAATCAAGATGGGATTTAATGCTTGTTCCTGTCTGTCAGGGAGTTAGTTGGTGGCTGGACTCTGGTGCGGCTAGCAGCACAGCGTGCATCATTCTTGGAAAGCAGAGTAGGGGGATATGGGCCCGTTTTACAGATAGAGTGAAATCCCTCTGAGTTAGCAATATAATGTTTATCTAGGCATTTCAGGGAGAACTAGGAAACCCTGCTTGCTCAGATCCATTTGAGGTAGCGGCAACTCAGCACTAGGAGGAATATCGGAACCAGACATCTGCACATCTCGTCATGTCCTAATGAGCGTTTAGGACCGTGTAGCATGCTTGCTGTTGGGAGCTGTGCTCTTGGTGGCTCGTGCTCTCAGGGGTAGGAATCTGGCTTTTCCTGGAGTTAGAGGTAGGTGTGGGTGACCAGATCACTTTGCATTTGCAGAAGGCCTTGCGAAGCAGAGAGCTCCTGGCTGTAGCAATGGTAGGAGTTACGTCTTTACGTAGCTGGCCAGGCTTCCTGCTGTGGGCAGGTTCTCACTTTCTGAGCGGGCTGCTCATGGAGACCTCTGAGACAGTTGCTGCTTTCTGCTCCATCTCGTCTGCTTAAACTCTCTCAGTGCTGTGCCCTTTACATAGGCGTGTACCTCCTCCTGAGAACTGAAACAACAGGTTTGCTATATGTAGTGTGGAAGCATACAATCTTTTTGTGGGCTTGCTTATGCTTTAAAACCATTTGCTACATCTGACACAAAATGAAGTCTGCACTGATTTCTTCAGCGAAAAATCTTGTCCAGTCCTTTACAGTATGGACAGGTGGCTGGCCTGTTACTAGAGGTTGGATTTTATTTTTTTAACCGATTTCTATACAATTACCTATTTTCTTTCTTCTTAGTTTTGCATGTCCTGTTCTTGGGGTCATTGCTGCCATTGCCCATCATGGCTTCATAAATACCTTTCTGTGTCAGGCTATGACAGTTTCCTGTGTTGCCTTACCTCCTTTCCAAGGATGAAAAGATCTCTGTGGACTCAGCAGATTAAAGAAAAAAAAAAATTTAGATATGCTGTTAAGCTTAATTGCTAAAATACCTGAGTGGAAAGACAGTACATCAGCATCTTAGACATAGCAGACACCTTGTGGCAGGTCCACAAAATTCCTGTTGAAGCTCTTGGACTGCTGTGGAGTGGAATTCTTCCGTGAATTCCTGTAGGCTCCTGCTG